TAATTGTGAGTTGGGCCAGTATGATTGAAAAACAAGTGACAACTAAACAGTAGTCAAAAGTATAATTCCACAATGCCCAAAATTTTTGTTTAAAATTTCGAAATCCAACAATTTAACAAATAACCTGCTCTTTCCGAAAACTTTATCAGTTCTACTCAAAATTGTTTACTACAACTTGGATTAGTTGAAAATTGCTTAGTGCACAAACGATTAGTACTTAAAATTTTCAATCGCATTAAAAATCTGAGAACTAGTTTGAGAAATTCTGTTTTTCTAAGAAATTTAAATTTTTTTGGAAATAATATTTTTGGAAAAATTTTTACCAAAAAATATGCTATTGTGTCTGATACAATATTTTTATGTTTTTTTCCCTCGTTTTTGTTATTATAAATTGCAGCAATTCCTGAATTTGAAAATTGAAATAAAAGGTACTATACGAGTATACAATATTTTCAAAAATACATTTAGCATACAAAAGTATTAGTTACTCCATATTATAAATTCTGAATTATACGTAAGTTGTACTATACTTACAAAATAAAAACTTATAATACAGGAAAAAAATGTTTTATTAAAATAAAAACTAAAAAAAGATCTCTATATGTGCTTTTTAGTTTAACCTAGTGGAACTTATTAGGAGAAAATATTTATGAAGAAATTTTGATCTGAATTTAGTTTATGAATATTCAACGAAACTTTAATATTTTTTCATATTGAACTTTTTCTTAAGCGTTTACATGGAAAATTTTATTTGTAGCCACCTTGTATGCTTAATAAAAAAAAGTGAAAATATTAAGAGGGATATCTTGCATTTGTATATGTGTGCATGTTGCAATACTATGAAAATTATTCTGGAAAAAAGTTATTTTATGAGCAAAACTAAATGTTTTCAAGTATTTTAAATAAATTTTTCTGTATTTTGAAGCCATAATAATTTTTTTGAAATCTCAATAAACAATTTAATTTCGAAGAAAGCACATACAGTTTTAAAAGCCATTGGGGTCAGGATATATGACAAGTAAATAAAATATCAATCTTTTAAAAAATATTAAAAAGCAAACTGAATAAGCACAAATTAAGCAACATAAACAATTAAGTTTATTTTCAATTGAACGAGGAAAATTTACAATATTTCGAACTTTTGTGTCTCTTTTTATGCTTGTCTAAGGTTAGAATAATGAAGTTAGTAAATTTGTATGACATGATAACTTTTTGTGACTGGGTTTAGGTTAATAAATCGCAGAATTCCCAAAAACTTAAATTTATACTTATTGGCCTCTATTACAATGTTACAGATTTTCTTTTTTTTTATCAACTATTCTGCGAACTAGCTTATATTTTCAAGAAACCCGTTAAAATTCTTAACATTAACGTTCTTAGCGTGCAATGTAAAACATTTCTCCAATTAATTTAGTTTTCGATATAGTTACTTATTAATTTACAATTATAGCACCAAATCATTTTAAAATCAATGAAAAGATTTAAGGTTAAGCTAGAGTTTTGTTGCCAACACAGCATTCCATGAACAATATACTCACACTTTTAATGAATTGTTCATTTTCTTTCTGTCACAACCACAACGAAACATTTTCGAAACTATACAAAGCAATTATATGTTTCTGGTGAAACAGAAAGATTTTTTCTTTTAAAATTCACCACGTAGAAATTTTTTATATTAAAAAAGTTACCGTTTCATTTGTATTCATTAATCTTCGTACATATAATTTTAATTTGAAAAGAATTTTAATAAAAAAAACATTGATTTGGAAAGGTCATTCTAAATTTTTGTAAGCGTCAAAGAGGTGTTGAAAGGGTAATGAGGATGAATAAAAATTTTATTAAAATATCACATATGCTGTTATACACAAAGAAATAATTTTCAATTTCATTTTTGATTAAATTGCATAATAATATTTTTGTTGAATTTTCAATTTAAATACAATTAATTTGTATATTATTTTGTTGTTGTAAGTGTAGTGAACTTCACCTCAATTTAAATGAAATTTTTGTATTTTACAGCAAATTTCACAAATTAATTTTGATTTTATTTTAATGCTGCATATCTAAAGGATTTATATGTATTAACACAAATAAATAGGATATAAAATTATATCTGCATACTTAAATAGATTTAAACATATTATTAAAAATATATTAAAATTAATTTTATCTATATGGTATTATGCTGCCATATAATAAGAATTTTATCAGGAATTACGTCATGGCACAGATTTTATTAATCCATAAAATTAAATACAATGATATACAACAAATATTATAACATAACACAGATAATTCTGATAAAGATTTTGAAAAAAAAACAAAAAAATTTAGTCGATATTTCACAAACCCATGGTTTATGGAAAAAATATTTTGCTTTTATAATTCAAGTATGGTATGGATATTGCAAATGGGGTAGCGATATTAAGTTTGCACCGCGTTTACTGCTAACTTGCGAACTATCTTCCATAACAAGTTGTCATACACTTGGATATACAGCAATATGATGAGCTATAATTGGTAGAAGAAGAGGTGTCACTAAGATCTGTTTATATACAAAATTTGAAAACATGATTTTATGTCATTAGCTTTTATAAAACTATAGCAATATAAATGAGATCAGTCGTATTAAAATCATACACAAACTATATAGAGTATTTTCCAAAAAAAATTTGGATTTTAGATCAAAATTTAGTATCATCACATAGATAGCAGATGAATATTATAAAATTTTATATACACTTCGTTGCACATTTCATACCAAATTCGAATTGTTGAGGCTATGCAAAGTTTTGAATGCTGTGATTTGACTTACCACAAAAGTTGGGCAGTTTATAAAAAAAGCTTAACTTACAATTAAAGTAGAGTCGTACTAGAATAAAATTCACAGTACAGTTCAGTGCAATGAACTGCATTTGCCGCCAGCTTGACATTTTTATAAAAATTATTTCCGTTTTGCGGAGGCTTTAATTTTATTTAAAATCTATATATAGAAATGTCAAATTTCATGAGACAGAAACACTTCCTTCCCAATACCACAATACTTCATGTCGGTAAGAATTTATTTGATATTGTGATTTATGTTTTAACAATCATTGAAAAAAATTCTTCCCCTCGATTTTTATTGGAATTTTATTTGATAATTTATTGAATTATATATTATGTAATATGCAAATGTATAAATTTTAATAAAATAATCAATTAAAATAAATAAATCACATATATAAGAATTAATCCTGTACAATGTAAGCACATTACAAGTGTAAATTCAAAAATTATTATTTGAATGAATGCTCTTCGGATATCCCAAAAAAATTTTTAATACATTGTACTGCAAATTCGTTGTAATGCAACATTCAAAATTTTACCTTGGAAAATAATGTAAATTACAATTATTTATATTGATGTTGATTATATTTTATGTACTACAAGTTTTTAAGAGAAATTCAACAGAAATTAAATTCAAAATTTAATAAATTTATTTATTAACAAAAAAAGACATTAAAATCAAAAATGCAATCATTTGTAAAAAAATTAGATATGTAAACTGCATCATTTCAGATATGTGGGAACGTGTGAATGTACCGTTTACTAATAATTGAAACTATGATTACAAATTTCAATAATTGAAGTCTTCAGTTGTTGAAGTCACTTGCTTACATGTAAATACAAGTGTGTCAAATATATACTGAATTGATTTTTGATCTTTAAAATTTTATTTTATAGGATAAAGATGCCAAATTTAACGAAATGCGATAAAGGTGACAAATTTAACATGTTAAGTTTTCACTATACAATGCACTTCTTTGTCTAAATAAAGAATTTTAAGTGAGGTGTCGATTTGTTGGTTTGCCCCTCTACCTGTGCTTCGGAATATACACCGATTTCAGATGAATCGACATTAATTTGACTTTTTTATGAACCGAAAACTTTTACGACAGTTTATTTCGGAAATATGTAATGTATTATTCGACTTTTGGGAACTCTTAGGAGTTCTGTTACTATACGGGCAATTTCATGTTTTATACACGGCCAAGGCGTTTGATGCGGTTGATAAAAATATTTTGTTGAAATTTGAAAATAACGGGAAAGGATTATTGTTGGTTTAAAGTTACTTGATTAATAGTATGGCATAATACAAGGAAGTTCGTTACCTTGTAACCACTAGACAATATTAATAAAAAATTTTGTGTGAATACAAACCAAATGTATGTGTGCATTGTTTATTTAGTAGAACTAGGAATTTAAAAATTGCTTGAAAAAGAGTTCAATTTTTCGGCATTCATTCCGTTCTTTTGCCTCGTATTATACTATAATACAATACAATATACAAAAATATACTATATAAGTTATAAATATTTGACCAGAAACATATTATGCCTTTAAGTTGTTGCTTTCTTCTACGAAATGTTCAATACATTTCCTTCTAATATATATGTATTTTAAATATTCTATTATGATTAGAATAAAATATACGTAGGCTAAGGCTTTCCTACAATATTGTTATTATTTTCAACATAAATTTTTTTTCATGTTATTATAAATTGAATTTCTTTTATTGAAAATTGCTTCTAAACCTGAGAATATTTTTATATTAATATTTATGAATAATAAAATACATAATATTTATATGAAAAATTTACACATATGCAATTATGTGTGTATGTATGCATATAATATTTTAATTTATATGAAAATTTATAATATTGTTAAATTGACAATAAAAGTGAAAAGTCATGTTCTTGGGATTTGTTTAATATCAAAATAATAAAGAAAAAAATTTTTCTTTTAACACATTTGTTTCTTAAAATTTTAATATTTGAAAAATTATCTGATAGTATATGTGTAATTTATTATTATTTATCCATATTTTATAGCCTTGAGCATATTTTTATTATATAATAATGATAATTAATAAAAAATAATAATTTAAAATTTAAATTATTTTTTAATTTATTTATTTTTTCTAATAAAATTATTTTAAATTTTTCTTATTACAGTTAAGTGAATTGGGCCGACCATTTACTGGTGGTTCATGGTGTGGAAAAGCTTCTGGACCACAGCTTTATTTTAGTGAAACATCAACTGTTACAGCATCTGTAAAAGTAAGTTATTATTTAACATTTTTTATTTATTAATACAATATTGTAAAAAATTTTTAATACTAAAGTAAGAAAGTAACATATTGGAGAGAAAATTGTTAATATTGAGAGTGTAACAGTTTGATTGAAAAATTCGCGTTATAAAAAATTCTTAAAAATTTTCAAAAGAATTAATTTTAAAATAAATTTGTGAAAATCTTCGGCAAGGCCTAATATAAAAAGAGTCAATTTTTGCAAATTGGGAACAGTTTTAGAATTAGTATACCTATAAGTTTATTATTTAAATCTTATTAAATGCATTAGGAATCACAATACAAATCTGGCGAATTCCAACAAAATTTTTGCTAACGTAATTTTTGCATAAAATTAGGTGAATTATTTCTTAAATAAAAGTGGATATTTTATAAGATTCAAATAAGTAAAGATTAGAATTTTTACAAATTTAAGGAATTCGTTCAAAAAACCTATTGTGACTATTGTACCCTTGGGCTCAATTTGTAATATTATTATTGTAAAGTTCTCATGGCCGAATGAGTGAGAACGAGAAACTTTTAAATATGAGTTATTAACGGAGAAGTTATTGCTTACAATTTTCTGCCAAAAGCTTCACTAAAGCTGTTGATTTCCAGAATGAAGCTGTAACTATTTTCAATATACAATAAAGTTTTTTAAAGATCTTAAAGAGCAGAACAGAAAGTGCTATAAGTAGTTAAGAATAATAAGCGCGATAAAAGAAACCACTCTCCTTTATGTTAGATATATTGAGTTTTTGAGTAATTTTAAAAATACAATTTAAACATTGTTCCCTATTCTCTCTTTCAAATTTTTATTCATTTTTATTATTAAATTATAATTTTTATAATACTTTAGGGAAAATTCAAAGTTATTTTAAGAAAGAAATAAAAATTTAGTTTTATTTTTCTTCTTTTCACTTCCAAATAGAACAAAATGAAAAAAAAACTTTTGATAATAAAGCAAAAATTTCTCAAATTCATAATATGAGCATTGGGTTATTTTGTAACCTTAATACGAATAGTGTTTAGATATACTTCCAAGAAACGTTTATATTTCTGTAAATAAGAAAATCCTTCTAAATAGCACTACTCAAATGTGTATAGATATTGCAAAATTTACTTAAATTTAAATTCTGTAGGAAATTGTATTGTTGTTGAAAAACATACGCTACTATAACGTTTAAAACTGGAAAAGTGGGCCCACCAAGTCGAAATGTCTATCTCTTTTGAAATACATCTGTACGTAGATTGCACATAAAATTATACAGTTCGAGAAAATTAAGACAATTTTATTTGAATTAGATGCTGTCTATTTCTCTTGACTAATCAGGCAAGATTCAAAATTTGATCTGAATCTCAAAATATACTTAGTTTAAAATGTTTACAGCAATTATAGCAGAAATTTCAATGTAGTTAAGATTTGAGTCAATGTATACCGAATTGAATTTTCTTCTATTAGAATCTGTTTCTTGGTAGTTACAGAAGTTAGAAATATTCCGATAAAATTTGTTTAGAATTTTATTGATTTTTTTTCTTTGAAAAACGCTCATCAAAATTACTCCAAGAGGCGAACTGGCGGGATCATTTTTCTCTTTTCTCGTTATACTTTTAGTTTACTTTATATGCTTTTATATTAACTCGTGGGCGTATGTTGGCATATTTTAATTTCAAATATAAATTAAATGTTTTTGTATGTTACTATTGGTGAATTCTATTCTCCGAGAATTTAGGTAAATGGGGAGGAATATAGTTTTATGCTATATGCTTAATATAGTTTTAAATATTAACTACACATTGTTGAGAATACACATTGTTGAGAATCCCCTTAAAATTCCGATGAAGAAAACACTAGAAAACTTTTTTAAAACATAAGGAATTTAAACATTAGAAAGGTAAAATGTTACAAAAATAAGTTTTTAATTTAAAATTGTTAAAATAAAAAAGGAAAAAAAAAATAAATTGTACACACACAAAATCATTTTCCATATCTATTTAAAAAGTATTTGTAATCGAGAAGACTGAGAGAATAATATCATAACTGCAATCAGAAGAGTCGATTCTAATTACATTAGTAATATAGCAGTAAGTTAGAAACTTTAAATGAGAGAAAGTAGGATATGCGAGAATTATTGTTAAAAATTCAAACATTAAATTTTCTCTGTTTTATTTTCTATAGGTCAAAAGAGTCAATATAGAGAACTAAATTAGGTCAGGCTATTTTTTGTTTTTAAATAAAACATGAATTCGTGTTTGTAACAAAAATTTTTTCAAAGAATATTCTAATTATTAGGAAAAATTTCCTTTTTTTTTGTTAAATTAAAAATTTGTCTAAAATTTTCGAAACTTTCAAATTTTTTGCAGGTTTTCAGATTACTTCCTAGATTTCTCTCTTTTGTGTTAGTAATATTTTCATTAAAAATGCATAACTGTATGTATATCTTGATATATGCAATAATATGATTATCTTTTGTAAACTTTTCTAGTCAATTTTTGAAGTTAAGCTTAATTTTTGAAAATAATATTTCAAAAAAAAATAAAGAGTTTGAGATTTTTGTTTTTAATTTTTATTCCGTAAAAAGTATTTTGCTTTGAAATTATTGTAAACTTCTTGAAAATTTTTTACTTTTTGTATTGAAAACTTCCGGATTTTTTTTTTTTTTTGTGTTCTTTGTTTTCACAAAATTTTACCTACCACCTACCTATTTTACATGTTTTATATATATAGCTCTAAGCTCGTATATCTGCCAGCATAGATTTATATTTTGTATGTAAATTTTGTGGAAAAACTTTCTCCTCGATTATTATTTTCCAAAGAGAGAGAGAGAAAAAAAAACATAACAAAATATGAATATTTATTTTTGAAAATTTTTTACGTAAATTTCAAGCATAAATATGCATTTTTGAAAAAAAAGAAGAAAAAAAAAAATATACGAAAAACAAATACCAACCTTAAAAAGTAAAAAAAGGTAATTCTCAAACTCTAAAGCAACCGTCAAATTATATTTACTATACGTTAATGTACAGAAGAAGAAAGAGAGAGAGAGAGAGGAAGGAATAAGAGAAAATTTTACAACACAAACAGCGTTCCCACTTGGATACAATTGTATCCATTTGGATACATTTTTGCTTTAAAATTTAGCTTGGATACAAAGATACTCAAATCTGCTAAAATGTCGAAATTGGCTACATTTTAAAATTTTGCTGAAATATGGATACATTTCTTTCTCGAAAACTAAATAAATGTTAGAAAACTTTTAAAGTGCTGTAACTTTTAAGTGCTTTATCTTCCAAAAAATTTTATTTGCTGACTAAATAAAATTTGCCCGTTTTCATGCTGAATCGTTTTTACCGCATAGTTCAACAGCTACAGAACATATATTTTCTGACCTTAAATTTTAAAATGTAGTAGAAATTGCGTGTGATTTCTAAAAGAATTTACTATAAATAACGAAACTCACATTGTTGAATAAAGCAAATTAATATTATTTACGAGTTTATTGGTATAAAATAAGACGATTTAGTATAATAATTCCACTTTAGGAGGCTGGATACATTTTGGATACATTTTTTTCTCGAAATTGGATACATTTTGTTTTTATTGAGTGGGAACACTGAACACAAATAATATAATATGTATATAGGAAACAAAAAGTGGAAATGGTTTGAAGTTAAAATTTGAATTGAGAATGAAAATATTATTTAAAGGATTATACTTTGGTACTATTTTCCGGGTTCATTATAATATTATATATCTATATATGATAAAAAAATTTTCATCAATATTCTACTAGCAAAAATACCACCACTCTAAATAAACTTTCTCAAAAAATTATAATTTGAAAGCATATATTATAGAAAAGAGTAAACAGGAAGAAGAATAAAACTTTTATTATAAAAAGAACACATAACCAATATGATTCATCTCTTTCATCTTCCTTTTTTTCCAAAAACATATAGCTTTAGAATAGTATTAGAAAAAAAAACACAAAATATTAGGTATTTTATAATAAACTTATGAAAGTTAAGGATACTGTAACGAAAATTTAATTAAACCAATAATAAAACTTTATTCATAATTTAAATAAGTATATCGTGTCGAATAACAGTTTGTATAATAGTATAGAAGAAGTTAAACAGGAGAACTAAAGTTCTAAAGCAAATCTAATAAATATAAAAATTTTCCAATACCTTTATTATAGCACAAAGTACGTAATATTTTTTCGAACTTAAATCCAGAAACAAAATCTATTTAAATCTATTTGTTTCGTTAATTTTTAATAGGAGTACAGATCAGAAATGCGATAAATCACTATAAAAATAACACACAAAAATAGCAGTTCAATTAAATTTTGGACTAAATTACGCCGAGCAATAGAGAAACTGAACATTTGTTCTTGATTGTTAATATAGATATCACAATAATATTGGAATTCTGAACAACAACAAAAATTGATGCTTGTAAATTGATGAAGCGGAACTGATAAGAGTCTGTTATCAAAATTTATATACGTATGTATTACGAAACTATATTAAAATTTGAATAGGAAGTAAAAATATTCTTAAATATTTTGTTTTTCAATATTAAAAGGTTAGGATTATAATTACTTCCCATAAAATTTTATTTTATTGCTAAAAATTGGATTTTTGTTAAAAAGTACAATTAAAATCCTATTAGACAAGTAAGTTTGGCTTGTGTCCCTTCCCGCTTTTGTTACGAAATGCTATAAATTTGAGTACAAATCTGAACAAGTCATTATTTCAACAATTGAGAATTCTCTCACTATACGATTTGGTTTACTTTGTCATAAAGATTTTTTCTTTGTGCTTAAAGTTTTTGAGAGAATTACGAAGCAATACACGCAACGTCGGATCTACCATTTTTGCAAAGTTAAACTTTAAAAAATAAATTTTTTCTAATATAAACTTTCAAGTCAGAATGGTGCTGTTATATTAGAATCGGGCCTGAACACACGTCTTTAATTAATGTCT